GTGTTTAATGCGGCGTGTAGTAATTTCAGCTGTGTGTGTGTGTGTGTGTGTGTGTGTGTGTGTGTGTGTGTGTGTGTGTGTGTGTGTGTGTGACGCCTCATTAAAGATGGCAACAGTAGCTCGCCACCTGTCACACGCTCTGCCCGAGGTAAAAATATTTTGCATTCTTTTTAAGCCGTAAGTTGAGGGGCTCAGAGGTGGTCCATCCTGTGTGTTGTGTGTGTACGACTTCATCACACACACACACACACACACACACACACACAGCTCACCAAGTTCTTACACCGCTCACCACCCGTAGTACTGCACGCCTCCTGACAAGTACACACTTTTTATGTCACATCCCTGAGTGAGGTTTTTGTGATGATCATAGACACATTAATCTTTGTACTGCCGAGGCCCGGGACCTTCTTTACTAACCTTGTGTCATCATGCTGTCAGAGGCCACAACACATACACATTCTCATACGTTTTATACATGTATTTAGATAATTATACATGTATACACCTTATACATGTATGTATATCACTTACACGGGTATTTTTCGTATTTGCATAGATGGCATCGTGCTGTAAGGCCAGACACCTACATACATGTTATGTATTTACTTGCATGTGTGTACCTCTTACACACGCGGTGGTTTACACATGTTATACCAGTGAACTTACACACGTGTCTCCGTCTTGTCATACCAGAGACTTAACACTCCGTTCTTAAGTGACTCACGGCTACACACACACACACACACACACACACACACACACACACACACACACACACACACACACACACACACACACACACACACACACACACACACACACACTGCAGAATACATTGTAAGAGATAGATAGATAGATAGAGGACAGGATGAATGGATGGGTTGCTTGTTAACGAGGCTGTCTGAGGGGATCACGGCCGAACAGCATGATTAATTACCAGTGGTTGAGGTGTTGACTGCTGTGGTTGTAAATGATCGTCTGCCCGGCCACCACTGTACCTCACACACGTGTATTATTGTGTGCGTGTGTATGAGAGAGAGAACAGTTCCAACACACACACACACACACACACACACACACACACACACACACACACACACACACACACACACACACACACACACACAGTTGACGGCCAAAGTTGAAATTACACTGAACTTCTCCCTTAACTAGATGCGTTTTCTTTTCCTTACTTACTATGAAAAATATTATGAACGTACAGTACAAATTGTCGAGAATCCGGGGCCAGTAGTTGGTGTAGTGAGGACCCCATTGTGGCGAACTGTCTAGTGTATGATGTGTAGTATCTTCTGTGTATGTTTATTTATGTGTACATGTATTAAATTTGACCTAATAGAATATAGTAAGTTTGGGGATAGTGTGTGTGTGTGTGTGTGTGTGTGTCAGGGTCAGAGCTTTAAAGTGACTTCCATGACCTGTCTCTCTAAAAGGTCAAGGTCACGGGTGTATCTAGGTCACCAGCACGAGATGGCAATGAACACCTCCCTCGAGTGCAGTGTAGTTTCATATTCATAGCCTTCAACAGATGGCCGTCAAGAAGCCCGTGATAGGCCCTTACACACTGGCCATGGCCCTCACACGCATGGAGTTTGACCAAGAGAGTTGACGTCAGATGATGGTAACTAAATTGTTGGATTGTGTGGTCTATGAGGTGTGTGTTGAAAGAGTTGACGGGATGGATTGATTGTTGAGTGAAATATATAAGGATAAGAATGCTAGCTGATGGAAGGATTTAGTCATGAATGAAATGAAAATATCTGAATGAAAGAAAAACTAAGAGATTACTGTCTTGATTTCGGTGAATAGATAACATAATTCATAACATTAGAAAATATTATAGACAGACAGACACAAAGACAAACAGGCGTAGAAAGGCAGACAGACAGAGACATTGAAAACAAGAAGAATTTTCTCATATCCACGAACATTTGCTCATGGCGGCGTTCTGTCACACACTCCCCCTCCTCTTCTCCCCCTCTCCTTTACTCCTCCTCTACTCCCCCTCCTCTACTCCCCTCCTTTACTCCCCTCCTCTACTCCCCTCCTCTACTCCCCACCACCTCCCCCCCCCACTCCTCTTTCTTCCGGGTCTCTCCTGCCCCACCACCACAGTCTCCTCCTCCATTTCCTCACACCCCTTCCTCCCACCACACCTCTCCCTCCATCACTATTTGTTCCTTGCCAGCACCATCATTACTCCTTCCTCCCCCTTCACCTCTACTCACGTCTCCACCACCACCTCTTTTTCCTCTCTCTCCCTCACTACTCCTCCTTAACCTCCTCTCCCCGCCACTTCTCTCCCTATCCCCCACCACCATCCCCCTTCTTCCCTCCTCTTCCCCACACCACCATCCTTCCCCATTCATTCCTCCCTCTCTGACCACTCAAACTTCCACCTCCCTTCACTTCCTCCCCACCCCCCACAAGAAATCCACTTTAGTATCGCGAATCCCGTGTAAGAGACGTGTGACTCTCGCCTCTCCGTCTCTCTCGGGTCGTTTGCTAGCGATTTGCATTGTTCAATTCGGAAGAGTGACGATATGTCAGTCTTGTCCTCAGACCGCTCCCTGCCTCTTGTTGGTAATGGATAAATATTGATTTTCCCGCAAGAGGGACATACAGTGATAAGCGACAAGTGTGTACGTGTTTGTGTGTGGAGAGAGAGAGAGAGAGAGAGAGAGAGAGAGAGAGAGAGAGAGAGAGAGATTTCGTGTATTGGATGATGCTTGTTCAAGCTCTGTCTGTCCGTACATCCGTCAATTAGTCTGTCTCAGTCCACCTGTCTGTCCGTCCGCTATTATAGGGGTTCTCTCCTGTAGGTCCTCGGTAGACTGAGGATTAACGGAGAGAGAGAGAGAGAGAGCCAGAGCCACTTAGCACAACAAGCTAGACGTATGTCCAGGAATAACAGCTTTTCATGATAAGGCAGATGTTACTGCCAGTCCCTTAATGCATTGTGAGCTGATGGAGGGAAGGGAGGGGTGTGTCTGTGCGGAGAGGAGGGAAGGGAGGGGTGTGTCTGTGTGGAGAGGAGGGAAGGGAGGGGTGTCTGTGTGGAGGGAAGGGTGTGTGGAGTGAGGGGTGTCTGTGTGAGAGGAATTATGAAAGAAGTGTCAGGTCGTCCATCGTAGCCACTCACACACACACAAAATTTCAGACTCTCAAGCATCATTAACCTGTATTATAAAGAATAAACAACACAGTCCACTCAACACAGTGCCATAATTTCCCCGTGATTACAATACGTCCCGCAGGCAGCAGTAGCGCGAAGGTAACGACTCCTGGGGTAATTACGAGTGTTTACAGCCTCGTTGGGTGTAATTGCAGCGTGTAATTAGAGTGAGTGAGACCAAACAAGGGAGAGGGGTAGGGTAGTTTGTTGGTGTTAATTCATCAGATTGTGTGTGCTAGTTAGTGTCGTTATCTCCTCTTCTCTTCTTCCTCCCTCCTTCTCTTCCTGCCATTTCCTCCTCCTCGTCCATCTGTATCATCCTATCCTCTACCCTCGAGCCTCCTGTCCCTGTTATTCTCACTTCCTCCTATTCCCGAACCCTTTTTCTCCTTCCCATCTCCCATCCCATCAGAGAGAGAGAGAGAGAGAGAGAGAGAGCCCCCCCTCTCTCCCTCCAGCGTATACTCACCCATGGGACACACACTCTTCCCTCCCCTCTCTACCCCCTTCCTCCCCTTCCCTTCCCTCCCCTCCCCTTCCTCCCCCCCTGCCCCCTCCTAATGGACGCGGTCACAGCAGGTAATGTTAATAGTTAATGGAATGGAATTTTACATCAACCCATAAAAAAACCTCGGAATTGTATTTAACACAACTCTGTGACTTTATAGTGTGTGTGTGTGTGTGTGTGTGTGTGTGTGTGTGTGTGTGTGTGTGTGTGTGTGTGTGTGTGACCTGACCTCCCTTGTTACATTACATGAACACTGTGACGTCACTATACTACACAATCATGCAGCCGCCCAACACTACCAGCTGCCCACCATTGCCACTCCCACCCAACACTGCCACCCCCACCCACCACTGCCACCACCCACCCACCACTACCACCCACCCAACACTACCAGCCGCCCACCACTACCACCCACCCACCACTACCAGCCACCCAGGAGTAACACAGTACACCAGCAACACAGTACACCAGCAACACAGTACACCAGCAACACAGTACACCAGCAACACGTCAACAGTATTTGTAACAACAGTAATTATTGGGCGACTAATTACACCATTGCATGACCGATCCCTCCTGTGTTGTGTCTTCACCCTCCTTCACTCCTTCCCTCCTTCACGCCTTCCCTCCCTCCCTCTCTCCCTCCTTCACTCCTTCCCTCCTTCCTTCCTCCCTCTCTCCCTCCTTCACTCCTTCCCTCCTTCCTCCCTCCCTCCCTGCTGATGATGCCAAACCTGGTGGTGGTGGTAATGGAATATTTTATAAACATATCAGTGTTTACATTTATCACGGTCATGCAGGATTTCTGACATGCGACGTAAATTGGCCCCCCACAGTCCTGGGCTGGGGAGTGCCTGCTTTCCGTCAATCCATCCGTCAATCCGTCATTTCCGTCCGTCATGTAATTGTGAACACGATAACTTGAACATATACTGTAGTCGTGATTTTTTACCCAAATTTGGTGCATGAATTTATCACAACAAACTCAATATGTAACGAAGTAGGGGAGTGTAACTTAACCTAACCTAACCCTAACCAAACCCTAACCTAACCCTAACCTAACCCTAACCTAACCCTAACCATACTGGAATTGTTGTGTTTGTTGATGTTAAATTAAGACAGGTCTTGGTTTTATCTACCGCTCTGATCCAACCCTAAGAGAAGCAGAGAAAGTAGATAGATAGATAGATAGATAGATAGATAGATAGATAGATAGATAGACAGACACTTACGCTATCACTGTTACCTTGGTTGAAAGGTAGACGGACTTAGTGAGTGTTGACGTGTTCCAGGTTGTATGTGAGGAGGAGGTGTGTCTGATGGTCGGCCTTTGGCGCCCCTCCTGAGACTTCTGCAGCAGTACCACCACGCCCCTGACACGCCCACGCCCACGCCACCACCACCACTGCCACCATGACCAAGTACTTTGACTTCGTGTGGAGGAAGGAAGTGGATTCGCGCCTACAGGAAGGTGCTGTGATTGACCGGTGGACTGAGGTGAGTGACTGCTGCCTGCTCTCTCTCTCTCTCTCTCTCTACAACGTTGTATTGATTCTTCTTTTTTTTTTTTAATTTTTTTTAGTTCTTCTTATTTTTTATTCATCTTGTTCTTGTTCTTCATCTATTTATTTTAGTGTTGTTGCTTTCTTTTTTCTTTCTTTCTTCTTCTGCCCTTTCTTTCTTCTTCTTCTTCTTCTTCGTCTTCTTCTTCTTCGTCTTCGTCTTCGTCTTCTTCTTCTTCGTCTTCGTCTTCTTCTTCTTCGTCTTCTTCTTAAGTAGAATTAAAATTATCTATAAATTTATGAGTGAAAGTATAATATATGGGTAAGTTTATGAGTGAGTGTGTGAAGGCAATATATGAGAGCTTCTATGGGGGAGTGTGGGCGGGGGGGTGACGCCCAGTGGTATATTAATGTTGGAACTTCGGCAATAAAACTGTTTATAAGGCTTAGCTGTGGTGTATAGCTGTCAGTGGCTGTCAGTGAGTCGTTGTTGGGGTCTGTCTGTTTGCTCTCTCTCTCTCTCTAAAAGGTGAGAGAGAGATAATTTGGGGAAGAAGAGAAAGTGCAAATAAAGGAGAGAATGAGATTAAGAGTAAAGAAGTACTATGGGAGAGAGAGAGAGAGAGAGAGAGAGAGAGAGAGAGAGACCGCCCGCTTTCCTCATATCAGCCCCCAAAAAAGATATTAATTAAATATTTTTGGCCACCTGTTCCTTCCTGGGTGATGGGGCGGAAGTTCAGGTCGTTTGTGGCTGAATTGGATTTTCGATTTTTGTGTGTGACGTATTTTATGCGGCGAGCTGCCAGCCAGAGGGGGTATATTGACATCCACGCGTGGGTTTGTGGGTTTGTAGTTGACGTGGGGGTTAACTAATTGGGTTTGTAGTTGAGGTGGGTGAGAGTGGTGGGTTTAGTTGACGTAGGGAGAGTTAATTGGGTTTGTGTGTTTGTAGTTGAGGTGGGGTGAGCTAATTGGGTTTGTAGTTGACGGGGGTGAGCTAATTGGGTTTGTAGTTGAGGTGGGGTGAGCTAATTGGGTTTGTAGTTGACGGGGGTGAGCTAATTGGTTTTGTAGTTGAGGTGGGGTGAGCTAATTGGGTTTGTGTTGACGGAGCGAAATATTTGTCTCTTGTGTTTATAAGTGATAGTGCAGCTTAACAGGCCCTAACTTAGCTTAATCAGTAGGGCCCATTTGGACTGAGGCCCAGTAGGAGGGACCCATAATGACTGGAGCCCATGAGGAGGGACCCATAATGACTGGAACCCATTAGGAGGGACCCATAATGACTGGAGCCCATGAGGAGGGACCCATAATGACTGGAGCCCATGAGGAGGGACCCATAATGACTGGAACCCATTGAGAGGAGCCCATAATGACTGGAATCCATTGAGAGGAGCCCATAATGACTGGAACCCATTGAGAGGAGCCCATTATGACTGAGGGTACCATATGACCAGCCCCACTCAGTATTACAGACCTGTATTAACCCACTGAGGGATGTCTTTTATGCTTCAATTATATGCAAATTTATCTCCCTACATTTGTGTTTTATTTTGTGTAATGTAGCATTAATTGTGAGGGAGGGTGGGGGTGGTGTGAGGGAGATTGGGGGTGGTTAGGGAGATTGGAGATTGGTGAGGGGAGGTGGGGAGGTGGAGTGAGGGAGGGGATTTGGGTGGGAGTGGTGAGGGCTGGAGGCAGTAGTTTGGGCGTAGATTCAGATCAAGTGTTTTCAGGAGTTAGGTATATATTTTGTGTATCTGGGTGGGTGTCTGGAAGAGTAGAGTGTACCTGAGGGGTGGAGGAGGTATACCTGTGGGTGTATGTTCACTCTGGGTGGGTGTAACAAGCAGTGGAATGTATCTAGTAGTGGGTGTTACCTGAGTGTAATACCCCCCAGTGGAGTGTCTCCCACCCCCCGGGTAGAGTGTCTCCCACCCCCCAGGTAGGTGTCTCCCACCCCGGGTAGTGTCTCCCACCCCCTCCAAAGTGTATCAGGTGGATGGAGAAAACAATGGAAAGAGTAATTTTGTCTGTGTGTGTGTGTCCCCGGCTCACCTGTACCCCCCCCCACCTCTCTCCCTCCCCCACCCTCACTCCCTCCACTCTCCCGTCCTCCACCACCAACACCACAACAATGGTTCTTTTGTACTGAGTCTTAATACACCCCTCCGTAACCCATCCACGCCTCCAACAACTGGTGATGGTGGTAGTGGTGGAGGGTGGTTGTGGTGTCGGTTGTAGTGGTAGGTGGTGGTTCGTGGTGTTGTGGTGTTGGTTGTAATGGTAGTTGTGGTAAGTGGTGGTACTGTGTTGGTGATTGTGTTTGCTGGTATTGTGGTGGTGGTTGTTAATGACGGTGGTAGGTGGTGGCATGTAATGGTGGTTGTGTTGTCAGTGCAGGGGTGGGATAATTGTTATGATGGGTGGTGAGTGGCAGTGGGTGGTGATAAAGAGGGGAGCAGGGAAAAATAGAGATAGAAAGATGAAAGACTTAATGTGCGATAAAGACGACTTAGAGAGAGAGAGAGAGAGAGAGAGAGAGAGAGAGACACGCTGCTCCAAATCTCCAAAGACACTTGATGGAAACAAACATCAGCTGACTGGCAACAAAAACATCACCTGACTGGTAACATAAACATCACCTTGGCAACATAAACATCAGCTGACTGGCAACAAAAACATCACCTTGACAACATAAACATCAGCTGACTGGCAACATAAACATCACCTTGGCAACATAAACATCACCTGACTGGCAACGTAAACATCAGCTGACTGGCAACAAAAACATCACCTGACTGGTAACATAAACATCACCTTGGCAACATAAACATCAGCTGACTGGCAACAAAAACATCACCTTGACAACATAAACATCAGCTGACTGGCAACATAGAAAGCATCACCTTGGCAACATAAGCATCACCCCATTTGTAGCATGAAACATCAGCTGACTGGCAACAAAACATCAGCTGACTGGTAACATAAACATCACCTTGGCAACAAAAACATCAGCTGACTGGCAACATAAACATCAACTTGGCAACAAAAACATCAGCTGACTGGCAACATAAACATCAACTTGGCAACATAAACATCAACTGACTGGCAACATTCTCCTACAAGTTGTGGTGAAGAATGTGTGTGTGTGTGTGTGTGTGTGTGTGTGTGTGTGTGTGTGTGTGTGTGTGTGTGTGTGTGTGTGTGTGTGTGCTCTTCGAGCTCAGGGAAATTGAACACGGACTAAAGGGAAGTGAGATAATAAATACAGGAAATAGCATAGGGGAATAGGAGGAGGAGGAGGAGGAGGAAAATAGTGTAGCCAGGTATATGAGATAAACAGGAAATTGCTTGGGTTATGTTGTTAGAGTTGGGTTTTGAGAACAGGATTAGGTTGGGTAAGGTTAAGTTAGGAGGAAGTAGAGGGAACAAAAACGAAGAATGAGGAAGAAGGAATAAGAGAAAGGATGAGAACCAACTATAAAAAACAATAAAGATGGAGGTAACGAAGGTGGAGATGGGAGAGACAGGAGGAGGAGGAGGAGGAATGAGAGGGAGGAACAGGAGAGGAGGAGGAAGGGAAGGAAAGAGGGAGGGAGGTGATGGTTTGACCCCCCCCCCCACACAGCTCAACTTACATTTGTTTGTCTGTTCTATTTTGGTCGGTATGTGGGTGGTGAGGGGCGGCATGTGGGTGGTGAGAAGTGAAGACTGGTTGTGAGAGGTGAGGGTGGTGGTGAGAGGTGAGGGTGATAGTGACAGGTGAGGGGTGGTGGTGAGGTGATAGTGTACAGGTGAGGGAGGTGGGGTGGTGGTCGTGGGGAGATGCAGGCGAGAATTAACAGGGTGTGTATGTAATAACATCATTACCGTATTGTTATTATTGTTATTATTGTTATTATTATTGTTATTGTTATTATTATTATTATTATTATTATTATTATTATTATTATTATTATTAATATTGTTATTATTATTATTATTATTATTATTATTATTATTATTATTATTATTATTATTATTATTATTATTATTATTTTGTTATTGTTATTATTATTATTATTATTATCATATAAAGTACAATCATAATAATTATGTCAATCGTCTTTAATGCCTTCATAATTTGGAGAGAGAGAGACTCCTGTAGGTGGTGTCTCCTGAAGGCGTAAGAGATACACTAATTAGTGCCGCCCTTGGGAGAGCTCTTTAGCCACGCCGCGTCTCTCCTCCCCATCTTTTACACTCTCTTGCTCTTCCTCTTACACCTCCTCTTTGTTATGTTTTTTGTCGTCTCTTCCAGTCTTTGTTTTCTCTCTCCCATCACCTCTTTTATCCCTTTCATCACCACTATCACACTTCTTCTTTTCTTCCCTCCATTACCTCTTTTCTTGGCCTCTTTCTCACCTTATCCCCCACTGCTCTTTCACCTCAGCCCTCTTCCCCACCCTCTCCCTTTACTCCTATCATCTACCCCTTCCTCCCCTTTCCCCCCTCCATCAGCCCTCTCTACCCTTAACCTTCTCCCCTTCCTCTGCCCTCTCTCCCTACCGCCCTCTCTCCCTACCTTCACTTTCTACCTGCCTCAGCCTTCTCCCTGCCCCTCTCCCACCCCTCCTGCCCCCTACCCCTCTGCCCCTCCTCTGCCCCCCTACCCCTCTGCCCCCCCCCTACCCCTCTGCCCCCTTGCCCCTCTGCCCTCTGCTCCCCTGCCCTCACGTATACACAGAGGGGGGAGCGTTCAGGTCTGTTGTTAAGGAACATTAGGTTATGAGGCTCTATGGGAGGCCGTGACGTGTTCCCTGGGGCGGTGTCTACGTCCTGGGGGGAGGTGGTGAAAAGAGGGAGGAAATAGGTGGGGGGGTGGGAAAAAAAGAAGGATAGAGGGAAAGAAGAGGAGAGGGAGAATGAAGAGGAGAGGGAGGATAGGAGAGAAATGGGGATTTGATACGTGTGACCGCCGGCGTGGATCTCTCTCTCTCTCTCTCTCTCTCT